TGCGGGGCCCTGCCACCAGGCTGGTCCCTTTCTATAGTGGCAGGACCCAGCCCTGCATGTGGGGACCACGCAGAGCTGAGCTGGGTCCTGCCAGCCCTGGGGCTGTTCATGCTGCCCAGCTGCCAGGCGGCATGAGGATCCCCAGGGCTGGCAGGACCCAGCTTGGCTCTGCATGGTCCCTGTGTGCCGGGGCCAGGTCCTGCCACTATAGGAAGGGCCCAGCTGGGTGGTACGGCACGCAGGGACCGCATGCCATGCCAGGTCTTGTCACCGTTGGCCAGGCCCCAGGGCCGGCTCCCACCTCTGCCCCCTGTGCCTGGGGGGGAGGTAAGGACCTGGCCCAGCCCTATGTAGCTCGCTAGTCTGGCTTTGCACCAGAGTAGGTCACAAGGCTCTGGAAGGTGCGGCTCCTGAGTGCACCTTCTGGAGCCATGCAACCTGCTCCAGCGCAAGCCGAACTAGTGAGCTGTAGGGATCTGGGCCAGGTCCTCACCCCCCACAGTCCCGGGGACAGAGCAGCCCCAAGGGCAGCAGGACCTGGCTGGGCCCCGCATGTGGGGACTACATGCTGTGCTGGGTCCTGTCACCATTGGCCCAGCCTGGCCGGACTGCAGAGGGGCCCCAGGACCCAGCTGGGCCTCGCACATGGTCCCTGCATGCTGTGCTGGGTTCTGCCACCATTGGCCCAGCCCAGCTGGGCTGCAAAGGGAGCCCAGGACACAACTGGGCCTGGCACACAGTCCCTGCATGCTGCACCAGGTCCTGCTGCCATGAGACCAGCCTGGCTGAGTGGCAGGAGCAGCCCCAGAGCTGGCAGGACCTGCCTGGGCTCAGGGCATGGTCCCCCCGCTGCTGCTGTTAAAGGTTAATTACAGACCCTTAGGTGGGGCTGGGGCCCTTCAGGGTGGAGCTGGGACCCTGGGGGGGTGCCCGCCAGGGTGCCTGGGAACCTGGGCAGAGGGGCTGGGGCACTGTGGGGGATAGGAGCTGTGGCCCTCCAGGGTGGAGTTGGGACCCTGGGGGGGTGCCTCCAGGGTGCCTAGGACCCTGGGCAGGGGCACTGGGACCCTGTGGGGAATAGGGGCTGTGGCCCTCCAGGGGGGAGCTGGGACCCTGGGCAGGGGGGGGGCATTCCATGTGCTGGGGGGGCTGCACCCTGTGGGAGTCAGGGGATCCACCCCTTCTGAGCAGTCCCCCCACAATGTCCCCCACACCCACAGTCCTCCCAGCAATTGCCCCACTTCTACCCACAGACCAACCCACATCCCTCCATACACACACACCCGCCTTCCCCCACACCCCTTCTCACCCATTTTCTGCAAACACCACATCCCCTCATCACACACCCATCATGTGTGAAGAAAACCAAAAGCACACAACACATATAGGTATTTAGTATTTATTTTATCATGATTATACAGACACTGGTAGGCTTCCAAATTGCTTTAACATTGTAAATATACCAATAAAGCATTACCCAACTTATCACGGTCTCTCTCTCTGTCTCTCTCTCTATAGGAGTGTGTGTGTGTGTGTGTGTGTGTGTGTGTGTGTGTGTAGAGTGGTTTTTTGTTTTAACTGTGGAAGAACATGGATTTTGGGGTATTTTTAAAAATGGATTTGGGATGCTGGTGCAGCAGTCCAGTTGGCGCAAGGGGTGGTATCCCCAGGTATCAATTGGCTGGGCCCTAGAAGCTCCTCAGAGCGAGTAGCCCTGAGCTGCTTGCCAGGGAAGGTTTCGTATGGATGAGGCCAGGACAGGGCAGCTTTTTATACTGCTGGGGACAGCACAGGCGCTGACCCCAGGACTTAGCTCCCCAGATCCAGGAGGAGCCAGGCAGGGTTATTTTGCCCCAAGTGGCACAATTTGCTCCACAACAAAGTACATGTCTGAGCATGTGCACTGAGGCAAAAAGCCCCAGCTCAAATTTGCACCACTTCTATTTGAGCTGCTGCAAGCACACATGCTTGCATGTGTGGACACGCCCTTAATGTGCGGTAGACTAATTCTACTGAGACTTAGCACATCACAGCAAAAACTATGCTAATGCACAGTTGAATTAATCGCATCACAAAAAGCCTGTGCACCATTGCTGCATTTTTCTTGCATTTTCTGACAAACGCTTGCATTCTCTTGCATTTTCTGACAAACTCTGTTATAGCAGCATTGTACATGTTAATTTTTAGGCTTTCCCAAGTGTCAGTGGCTAAGGTGTTACGTAAACTTGCTTTTACAACTTTTTCATTGAATATTCTGCATTTTTTAATGTCTTTAGTTTGGCTGATGTCTATCTGAGAGTGACTGCTAGTTTTGCTATGGTGGATTTTTTTATATTGATTCTGACTTTGCAGCAGACTAAAACATGGTCAGTGTCACCATCAGCACTGTGATAAGACCTTGTATACAGTATTTCTTTCAGGTTCTGAGCAATTTCCTGTTTGTGGATGATGAGACCTTGATGGCCTACAGTGAATCTTCCCTGAAAAATCTCTTGGGCAGATTTTCTGACTCATGTACTGAGGGATACATGTACCACAGGGTGAAAGAACCAATATCTGACATCACTTTAAAGGATAAATCTCATGGTGTTGTTGACAGTTTTTGCTACTTTGCAAAAGATTTCTGCTGATCTGCTATGATCAGCAGAAATCTTGATCGTCAAACTGATCTGACAAACAGAATCAGAAAAGCAGCTATGAATTTTGGGCTATTACAAAAACATGCATGGAATATCAGCAAACTCTCAGCTAAGGTGAAGATACAAATCTGTGAGACTCGTGCGCTGTCATCCCCGCTTTATGGTTCAGAAATGTGGACTACATATGCTGGACTTATCAAGAGACTGAGCAGCTTCCACATGAGATGTCTACATAAGATCCTGAAAATAAAGTGGGAAGACAGAATACCAAAAACAAAGGTACTGGAATACACAGGACTGACACACTTAGAAACCACCATCAAAAATAAAAGATTGTCATGGATCAGCCATGTCAGGAGAATATGAGAAGACTGTATGCCCAAAAGTATTTTGTAAAGTGAGATTTGAGACCACTCTAGAAAAGCAGGGTTATCCTCTATGGCAATAACATGATGTGTGAAAAAATTATATGATGTCATTCAACAGCAACATACAAGGCTGTGAGGAGGGCACAGAATCCCAGTATCTGACATTATGTGGAGGGAACATATGGAACAGAGCACAGCTCAACATGAAGCAGCTTTGATCCAGAGAATGGAAGCAAAGCGAGAAAGAAGAAAACTATAAATTTGGACTCCTACTTAGATAACATATGGGTCTGTAAAACTTGTAACAATCAATGTTGCTCTTGAATTGGGCTTGTCAGCCACAAACAGATTCATTAAGCATCCAAATAGACCTCTTACATGGACACTGTGATCCAGAGGATTCATGGTTGTCTGCTACTACTACCACTAGAAAGCTATTCTGGAACCTTACTGTACTGTTGATTGGAAATGTTCTTCTAATTTTTAGCCTAAATTTATTCATAGCCATTTCTTGGGCTCACATTATCCTTTGTCTTAAATAGCTCTTTTTTTGCTCCCTGTGTTCCCTACCCTTTCCCTGCACCCAATGAAATTATAGACAAAAGTCCCATCCCTATCGGCCTTTATTTTACATGTTAGGGCGTGGGTTCACAAACAAGTTACTAGGATTTAACTTTTTCACAAATATCTCATTGGTGGTTCATATGCATTCTGTGATTGACTAAAACAACAAGACCTTTCTTCTGTCATTTTCAATTAATGATTTATTCTTGTTATTATTTCTCCAAATGAGTGATACCTTGCCTTCTGTGGTGTTGAATTTCATCCCAATTCTAACTCCAGACCTCAATGTCATCCAATTCTTCTTGCATGATATTCTGGTTCTTCTTCATCTTGGCAATGTCACCCAACTTTATATAAACAACAAATTTAATGAGATATTTGTATCGGGATTTTTTTTGAGAGAACAATTTATAGGTCAATGTTTGAAAAATGTTATTGCCTTATGTAATGATACATTCGCTTCATGCCAAGTCCCAAACTACTGTAAACTGTGACAGCTCAATTGATTTTAGTGAAGCTGTGGCAAGTTGCACCAGTTAAGATCTCACTGTTTCACCCATGGTTTTGTACACTTACAGAAAACTACATTATATACTAGAAAAAAGGTAATCATCCATATGCTGTATCACATACAAAAGATAGATATACATGTATACAGTAAAAGATTTCACAGTGTGCATTCCTTTCTCCTGTCCAGCAAAGAACAGTGAAAGTCAACTCTGGGAATTCTTAGGGTCTGTAATGAAGTTTGAGCAGGACTGATTTAGTGCATGTTATTTATAATTATTATTAGTTTATTATAGTGCCCATTTTAGGCTAAGTATTTCTAGAAAAACAAACTGCTCTTGCCTTAAGGAGCTCAGAGTCTATGGAGAAATAGAGGAATACATGAGAACATTTTTTTTCATTGCTACTGACTATTTGTCCTCTTTTGTTGCCAGTGGCTGCATCTATATGCTCTGAGGTAGGTTTACTCTAGAGTGATTTACTCAAGTGTTAAACCCACCATGGGGAGGCATCTACAAGTGCAGGGAAGCAGGAACAGATTTGCTGCTCATGGCAGCAGTCTGATCCCACCCCTGCTAGCCCTGCACCAGCCCCCTGCAGCAGCCAGGGGGAGCTCCAGACTCCCCCTGGGTGCTAGTCCATGGACTAGCAGGAAGCACAGGGCCAGGAGATGGCTGTCTTCTGGCTGGGATTGAGACATTGCTCACTGCCCCTGGGAGCTGCCTGATGCCAGTACAGGCTCCACCACTGGAGCCAGGGTGGGGACAATGTTCCCCCTGCCCCAGCATCAGGGAGCTCCCAGCCCCTGCTCCATGATTGCAGGGCCGTGGATAGGAGATTATTACCTCCCAGCCCTAGTTCCATGGTCATGGGGCCCAGGCTGGGAAATTTTTAGCTCCCAGCCCCATGACTGTGGAGGTCAGACTGGGAGATAAGAATATTCCAACCCCCACTCCCTGATCATGATCATGAAATGGGGGCTGGGAGATAAGACTCACAGTAATTTCTCTAATCTTCAGTAAAGTGTCTCATGTAGACATGCCTGCTATGTCCAGGGCTGAGTTTTTTGACATGTTGTTGGCCAGAATCAGGTTCACTCCAGCTACAGTTATAAACTCACCTTAGTCAGTTCATTAAAATAGTCTGATAATTGTTTCATGGCATCAATGGGAGCATCTGCTCATTTCCAACCCCACTGCACAGTATCAATGAGCTACTGCATAACAGTTCATTGCTACTGTGTTGTAGCAGCAGTGTCACGGCTAGTGTCCGCCAATGCTACATCACCTTAGTGACAATCTATGGCTATGTAGCATCTCATATAGGTGTGCCCAGTATAGTGCAATGCAAGGCTAGCATGCCAGTGCTTGAGTGCATAGCAAGACCATTGTCTTTAGGGCTAGGGACAGAAATGACATATAAACCAGGATAAGTGATAAGAAACCAGTTCAAATCTGTAACATAACAAAAGTTCAGTCACATAAACCATTTTCAGAATGAATGAACCTGGATAGACTTAACGGATTTAGGTTAAATCAGTTTATTTAAATTCTGTCCCAGATCCTCTCCAGATTCAAATTAACTCAAAGTTCCCTAGCATGCCAGGATACTTTGTACCTTCCCTGCAACCCACCCCCCACCCTTGCAGGGTGAGCAGGCTAGCTTTGGCACAAGCTGTCTGCTCCAGCTGAGTGGGGAGGCATGATCTAATGCCTCCCAGCTTTTGGCCTAGACCACTGCAGGAATTTACAGAATCAAAAGAGAATATATGTATACTTGCTTATCAGTTCAATCTGTGCAACTTAGACTAACCTGTGAAGACTGTTAGACCCCGACTCCATGCAGCGCCCAACAACTAGGAAGACGACGATCCAATTGCCCATGGATCCTGTTACTCATTAGCCAGAGCAAGCAGGGAGCAAAGACCAGCACACATTGCTCACAACAGCTTCATTCAGAATGGAGGCAGCTTCAAACAAGGGTCCCTCACAGACACACAACTCATGAACTAGTGGATGTGAACAATAGTTCTTTCCACATTTTATATACTTCGGTCTATGCTCATTAACATTTATCCCACCCACGTTCCTCCCGTTCCACCCATTTCTCCTCCCATTTCAAGCTCTGCCTCTGTTTACTGTTTACTTCATTAGCATGGACTTCCTTTGCATTTCCATGCCTTTTTGCTATGAGCGCATGTCCAAGGCCATGAACTTACTTCTTCGGTCAATGGGCAGACTTTGAATAAAACCCGGAAGTTTCTGGAGGCTTCTTCACCAATCACCATTCACCTTTTTGCATATGTTCATCTCAGATTTTGTTACCAATTATGTGTTGTTTTTCACATTCCAGTCTGTTTTTTTCTGTCCCATGTTGTACCATCCTCCACATTCCTAAGACTTCACCTCGTTCACAGCACATAAACTCACACAGATTCATTTGAAAATGGTTGACACAGTTAAGATGGTTACTTAACATAAGCAAATGGCGAGCTTAGATATCATTCTGCCTTGTGGTTATCAGCTTTTGCTAGGCCACAGGTAATAACCTTTTATTCAGCTGGAAATCCAGTGCTCCCTGAAGACTAGCCTGGCACAAGGGCTATGGTAATTACAGGGGCAGAGGTTTGTTAGGCCTCTACTGTGCCAGGAGTCTATAATTCGCTTGCACCTGAAAGGGTTAATCCCTCAGAGTATGGCCTGCGGCCCAGCCCCACCCTGAGGCCCACTACTATTAATGAATACAAACACCAAAGCAAGGGTTAATAAGCAATCTGTATTACAAGCTGAAAAATAACAATAATCATGGCAACATGAACTAGTTAAGAGCCACTTAACAGAATGCTATATAGAAATATATACAGAGAGCCACACCGGCCTGTCATCAGTGGTAGCAGCCTAGAACACCGACACCCAGGCTGCAGGGCCTGCTGTCAGATCCCTGTCAGGCGGAGGACTTCTACCCTTTCCTCCACAAGTGGAGTACCTGAAGACCTCAAAAGGGAAGAGTGATACTTTACCCGTCCTATGGGAAGTGAAGGTGAGCATCTCAGGTGAGAATTCCAGTGTCCTCACACACACACTCCACTCAGCACCTGCACTCCCAACCTTCCCAGTCTCTCCAGCAAAACAACATGACACAAAAATCTCAGGCCCTCAGACTCAGCTCACAAAGCTTCTCGGTGCACACACTCTTCGCCACATATGCAGACATGCATGCACGCACGCTCCTGTACACATATGTACCCACACACACACACACCCATGCACCTTGAGATGGTGCCTCATGCTGGCCTTCTGTAGTGGCCACCTCATGCCACCTGCCAATCATACCATGATCCAATCACTGCTTGCACATCTCAATCAATCAAAGTCACTCAACAGTATCATTTTCTTGGACCACTCATATTCATTATCACTTCATAACTCATTAACATAACGTTCCTGCTCTTTGATTATATAACAGTTTCAACTGTGCATGCCTCAGTTTTCTAAGTAGGTCATAGCCTCATCAAGGTCAGAAGTTTAGATGTTCCAGAGACTTCTACCCTCTAGCCATCCTACGCATGCATAATCACTATTATGACTAGGCCAGGAGTTACACTGTTTACACTCCCCAAGATCCAAATATTGTCACCCTAACAAACACTAAGTTGATTCAGCCTCGGGTTTTTTGACTGTCTTTACTTAGCCTAGCAGTCAGTCTTAAAAGACAAGTTTGTGATCCTGGTTATCCTCCCTGTGATAATGATTTACATTCTTCTACAAGCTATAAGATCTTTGGAATAGGTACTTATTTTTGTTTTTATAGCCCTCAGCACCATGGTTAATATGAGACATGCCTTGGGCTTTTGGATGCCACTGCAATATAAATAAAATAATAAGAGCAGCAAAACAGGCAACAGAAATAAGGGACAGTATTAAAAAAAATACAAAATATTGCCTGAAATATAACTATATTTCATTTTTAGTCACTAAAAAGATTGTACGTACCTTTATCTGCAAAGAGAGTCCTAGGGTATCATTAATTTATATAGACACATTTATATAGGATATTATTAACCAACATAGTAATATTACCTCTTCCTATATAATTATAGCCAGAAATTTGATCTTAATGGACAAGAATGGCATTATCTAATAACTCAATATCAAAAAGAAGTCTCCAAGAAAGACAAAATTTCAGGGTCTGCAAAAGGCATGCACAACTCAAACATTAACCTCTCAATTTAGCTTTCATTTTAGTAAATATTTATGATGTAAGATGTTCTAAAGTTACCTTTGGGTGTTTTTTCCTGTTACATACAGCAGGGTCGCCTTTCTTTGACATTCAGATAAGCATGTCCGGTTTTCACTTTCAATATTTGCAATGCTTAATTTTTCAAAATTTAGATTTCTATAAAGCAGTCTCAGTCTGCTAAGTATTTGTCCATTCATACAACACAAACTGTTACAGTAAACAAATAATAAGTGCCAAGCATGTCAAAAAGACATGCCACAAAATTAGCTTTTATAACAAAATTAATACATGTAACAGTTTTAAAAGCCATTTTACCATATGTAATATACTGAAGAAAAGCATATACTTTTAGGCAAATCATGGCCTTACTGAAATTCATGGAACAGCCAGATCTAACACATCCCATAACATTTTTCTTGCAGTTGTAGTAGACATATCAATTCCATACACCCACTAATTGCCAGATAGAAAACATGCATTTTGGAGGCCCAGAGTCCTCTGTAGTTCAGTGGTAGAATACTTGTTTACCACACACAGAAGACCTGGGTTTGATTCTTGGATTCTTATACACCTACAGCCACTGAGGCACCAAATGTCTGGACTTGGTTTGGCCTTTGGATTCTGTCTCAGTGACCTAAAGGGGGGATAGAAGCCATCATTCCTCAATACTCCTGCTTAGGCATATGTGTTGAAAGTCAGAGTTAACCTCTCACACATATACCATAACCCAGAATGATTGATGGTTGCCACCTCTCTTTGGTGGCCTGTAACAGGGTCCAAAGCCCAACTTCCTTTAAAATGGAAGAGCAGGTGGCTGCTGCAGGAGAGGAGGGCAGGGTGGGCATCAAGCCTAAGTGGAAATATTTGTTTTTGGCTGAAGTCCCACGTGACAAGAAATGGTGGTTCTTCAGGGCATACAAACCCATTGCCTGAGGCCATGTGGGCAGCCTGCTCCTGCATCTGGCAAGGTAAGGAGCTCTTGGAAGAAAAGGTTTTCTGGAGATTGACAGGCCTCTACAAGCCACCCAAGGGAGCTGGGATGAAGGGGCTTCAAGGAAGATATGGCTTGTGGGCAACATTAATCCTGAGTGGGGAAGACATGTAGTTTGTGAAGTGGCTTGCTTGCATTTATGTTATGTTTTAAGCTTGATCTCAGAGGACTGGATTATAGTTCCAGGGGAGCTGTGGAGGCCACAGAGGGGTGCCTGGTGGGGGCACTTTGTGACAGACACACACCAGCTTGGGGTCAGAGACCCAGAGGGAAGAGAGCCAGTGGCCTGGAGCATGAGATGGGGCCAGGAATTCAGAGCACTTGAGTGTAAGACAGGGCTGGAGCCCAGGGGCCAAGGTCTGGGGCAGTGAGCCTGGGCTGACAGGTGCAGCCAGAATAAAAGGGCCAAGGACAGGAAAGCTGAAGCCACGGACAAAGGTTTGAGACCTGAGGGCCAAGAACTGTGTTGGGGACGGGGGGCTGGGGGTAGGGAGGGCATAATGAACATGGTATAACATCTGCAATGCATGGGCATGGCTACATGGAGGTTGGAGACCACAAATATAGCCCATAAGGCAACTGGTTCCCTTTGGCCCTGATAGGGCCAAGAGGGCCATAACTTAGTGCTTGAGGAGCAAGACTGGTACCAGTAGGGTACAAGAGGTCCCAGCTAGCTAAAGTGAAAAAGGGATCACTCTGGGACCCTGGGGTAGCCTCCACTAACACCAATATATTTCTACCAAGGCATGGCAGGCCAGGAAAAGGGAGGGTACCCCGAGGACTTAGAGTGGGGAGCAGGAGTCCCATGGCTAATAGGGGGCATCATGGCTGCCCCTGAGGCATGGTCCAGGCAAAAGGCCATTGAAGCCAGACTAAATATTTTGAATGAGCTCTATATTATGCAAATTATTAAACCAATCCCAAATCAGAAAAGTGCAATAAAGGCACAAAGCTCTCCACTTTAGAAGTTCTTTGCTAAATACAGCTCAGCTAGACTCATAAATCAAGACTTCATATTATTTTTCCTCAGAAATAAAACAAAAGTTGAGGTAATTCCTATCTTCATATACTACTACAAAGCTAGGAAATTGGTTTACTGTTAATGAAAGTAAAAGTGACATATTCGGAATCACTTTTTCCAGTGCATAGGGTTTCCCTGGAGGTTTTCTTCTAAGAAACATCTAGACCAAGCTCTAAATTTACAAGACCTGTTATGGTCAATGCCCAAGGTGCTACCATTATCTTTTTAAAGGAAATCATAGAAAGAGGAAAATGCTGAGGGGATTTTTTTTTAAGTACTGTCCCGTTGGCAGGGCCAGACACAGGCATGGGTGAACTGGACAGTCTCTCTGGGCCTGGACAGAAAGGGTGCCTAAAAATGGTGAAAATAATAATAATAATAATTATTATTATTATTATTATCATTATCTCTGGCGAAGTGGGGCCTAATACTAAACATTCCCCTGGGGCTGCCAGGAGTCCAGGACCAGTGCTGCTCATTGGAGTTGGAGAAAGAATTGGGAGATGTGGTATGAGGAAACCATCTTCTTTTAATTTTGACTAATTCAAAATTGTGTGAAAATAAGCAAGTGGTTTTGCTCTCTGTGAGTTTTGTTTACTGTTGTGCATTTTAAGTGTT